AACTAGGAACTGAGCAATTGGAACGGTCTCGCACAGACTCTGCGAACGGCCAAGAGCATCCTGCATGCAGTGGCAGCGACAGTAAACGAACAGCTGGTGGCAAGTATGAAACCACTTTTGGATTTGCACACGCACACTCATTCTGGGCCGAGCGTGGGTGGCTACAACGGTCCGCCCCCTGCCACGGACGTCTCCTCCTCGTCCTCCTCACGATCCCCCTCCTCACTCTCATCCTCATTCAAGCTACCCCTCTCCTGCCGGTCCCCCCACTCATGGCCTGTGCCCCCCAAGAAACTGTGTATATTTGCACCACGTAACTTGCGTTGAGGGGGGGTATCCGGCCGCCGTGGGGGATAAACGTAACGTGGGGGAGTGGCATGCAACACCACAGTATGCTGCAAACGCATCTTGCGAAGAAGTAGCACGTGGGCCCCGCAATAGCCTGCAAACGCCAAAGCATGCTCGTGGGCACGAAAGAGTGCCTGTCAACACCATAGCATGCCAGTGAGCACAACGCCATACCTGAGGGGGAGCCGGCACCACCCACGCGTACCACGTGCGGCACTGTTACAGGCGGGGAGGGGAGGGGTGGGGGGCCGTAACGTACGTCACGGGGTCAGCAACAAAAACACCCTCCCCACCCCACGCAAGCGGCCCTCCACTAGGGCCCTCTCCTGAGACCCCCCATCGGTGGCCCCCCAGAGGACTGCTCCCACTTGTTACCCACTGCCCAACTTAGAGACGTCGCAAGCTAGGCATATCTTGCCAGAATCACGGCGCTAGTCAAGCGCAGCTGCCACGAAAAGGGCATAGCTGCAGCAAAAAAGCATTCCTAGCACTGGCGGTGAACCAAGTTTCCGCTGGCAGCCCCGTAGAACTGTCTGGTCATGTACAAATGCTAGGAACACCAAACATCGGGTAAAGACAGATCGATCGCAACTGGCAGAACATACGTGCGTCTTGCGAGTCTCAAAACGAAGCTGGTCGGACACAGCCTGCTCGACAAAACACAGGAGCCTCAACCAGAAGAACGGCAGAAGAGACGCGCAATGGCCTGAAGCAGAATATTGCAATTCTACAAGATCCCCCGCGGCCGCGGCCATGCTGCGCAGAGGAAGCAGAGGAGGCGGAGGAGGAGAAAAAAAAAAGAGGAGCAGGAGGACGAAGAGGCTCGAGGTGCGGCGAGCAGTCCTTGAGTTAGCCAAATCCGTGTCCGAGCTTCGCAAAACCGAATTGCAAACAACGACCCCGAGCCGTCGCAACTCCCGTGATCGGTGGATCGGCCAACGAGCTGTGCCCGTCGCCCGGCGCTCGGCTGCAACTCTCGAGCTCTGCTTAGTGCCAGGGGCTCCACGAGGCGATCTGGGAAAGCAGTTAGGAGACGGCCCTCTGAGCTGACGGGCTCAGGAACGATCCAGGCTGTCACCAAGGCTCCCAGGATGGCCCAGGCGAGGATCAGCGAGCAAGAACCAAAAAGAGGCATGAAGAACAGAACGCTTGACAACCGTGTGGCCCACCCATGCGAGAATCCTCGTCCCAGACCTCCAGATCACGATGCCCCTCCGCCCCTGGGTCGACCAGGCTCGGACGCACAAGTGCATATTAGCACTATATGTCCTCCTTGAAGGCGCGCGTCCGACCCGAACATATAGTATACTCACATTGTAGCACATCGTCTCCCGAACGGTGTGGCCAGAAAGCGCCCGCCACGACGCAGATACTATACGATATCTTCGAGCGCGCGTCGCCCCTGGGGGGGCGACGCACACATAGCATTAGTATGTTGGCGTGACGCCGACTGAACCCTCAATGAGCTCCACCCTTCCAGGCGAGAGCTCCGCTCGGCACCGACCCGCGAGGCTCGAGGCCCTCCCAGGACTACAGTAGCAACCCGACCACGAGAAACCTTCCGCACTAAGCCCGGCCCTGGAACCCTATCACCAGCCTCGAACCTATCCCTATCCCTAAGATTGACACGCTAAGAGGAGACGGCAACCTCATGGATACACCCTCAGGAACAGAGGAAAATCCCCAAGATCGCCATCGTGATGAGGCGATGCCAAACATAGGGATAGGGATATGTTCCAGGCTGGGAACCCCAGGCGAAGCTTAACGGACGAAGAACGGTATAAGATAAACTGTTTCGCTGTCGGGGGCGCCTGTCCCTGGGCGGCTGGAAAGTTTATACCCTACGGTGCCACCGTAAGGGTATAAACTTTCCAGCCGCCCAGGGGCAGGTGTCCCCGACGGCAAAAAATACCGCCGAAACATAAGGATAGGGATATGTTCCAGGCTGGGAACCCCGGGCGAAGCGAAGCGAAGCGCCGGAGGCGCGCGCGCTCCATTCGGGAGCCCGCCCGTGGCCCCGCAGGGCACGGCGTGGACGCCGGGGACTCGACGACGTCTGCTGACCGCCTACCAAACCACCCCAACCCAACCCGAAGACCCGAATTGGACCCGAATTTCGGGTTGGGGGGGGGTACGGGTTCCACGTGTTTTTTCGGTGTTCCCCGCCCCCCCCCCAGTGGAAATCGAAGATAAATTTGGACCTTCGGGTTGGGTTGGGGTGGTTTGGTGGGTGGTGATCGGCGTTGTGCCTGCCCGCCGCTTCGGCGAGGCGCGCCTGCCGAGAAACGGCTCGCGCGACCTGGCCCACGACCTTTTAACGGGCGAAGAACGGTATAAAATAAACTTTTTCGCCGTCGGGGGGCGCCTGTCCCTGGGCGGCTGGAAAGTTTACACCCTTACGGTGGCACCGTAGGGGTATAAACTTTCCAGCCGCCAAGGGGCAGGTGTCCCCGACGGCGAAAAGTTTATTTTATACCGTTCTTCGCTCGCTGACTTGTGGAGCTCACTCAAATTAGCCATCGTTCTGCCCTCGAAATGCCGGAACCATTCGGATGCTCCCTCTCTCGTCTGCTCCCTCCCGTCCTCCGTGGCAGGGCCCTCCTTCTGGTCCTCCTCGTCGCCTTCCTCCTCCTCGGCGTTGTTGCTCGCAGCCTCCGTATCCACGTTTTTGTCCTCGTTCGTCTCCTGCTCGTCCTCCATTCTTCTCCTCCTTGGTGTCGCCTTCGGAGCCGTTCGCGGTCAAGTCCAGGAACTCCGGGACAGGCGGAAGCTCCGCTGATGGCTTCATGGGATCAAGTTGCGGCAAAATCTTCGTAATTTCTGAATATATCACCCGTAAGTCTTGAAGCGACGTGCGGAGCAGCAACAATTCGATCTTGCCGATCCAATCGGCGATCTGTTTACAAACACTGGCTGTAGGAATGTGTTTCTCTAAATTGTCCTTCTCCATCTCCGCTTTTCCCGATGAGAGTATCAATGTCGATGGTGCGCTTGCCGATTTTCCGGATCTGATCCTGAGTTCATGCTACGCCCTCCACGAGCTGTTGGGCAGTATTCAGGATGCGGTCGAGCTTGCAGTTCAGAGATCCTAATGCAGTTTCGATGGACTCGAGCCTCGTTTCCAGCAGCGCTATGTCTCTAGCGACTGCTGCTCTCCGTCGCTCTCGCCTCAGTGGCCAAGCGCTGGGAACGCTCATGGACATTGTAAGCTGTGCCAGCTGCACGTGTTACGCTGTGCAGGCTGTGCTAAAAATCAATAGACTTCCTGGAACCCCAGGAAGTCCATTGACTTTTGGTGTGGAAGCGTCACGTTGTCCATGGCAAAACCATCGATGCCAAAAGAAACCCAGGGCACCCTGGAGGCAAGCAGGGTGTCTCTTGGCATGGGTTTCCACTGTAGAACAGGTTCTGAGAGGCCGACGACCACGAAACGTGACGTGTAAGGTGTGCGCCGGAGCGGGCGCGGATACGCCGTGCGGACTGTGCCGCTGGGGCATTCGGTGGAGCTCCTATAGGGCCACGAAGCGAGCGAGGGGTGTGCCAAATCGGGTGCGGGTGCGCCATGCGGGACTGTGCCGCTGGGGCCTTCGGTGGAGCTACCTGCGGGGCCACGAAACGTCTGAGGGCTGCACCAGATTGGGTGCAAGTGCGCCATGCGGGCGCTGCCGCTGGGGCCCATTGATGAAACCCCCTTATAGGGTCACGAAGCGTGTGAGGGGTGTGTGTCGAATCTTGCGCGGATGCTCCATGCCGGCGCTGCCGCTGGGGCCTTCGGTGGAGCTTCCTATGAGGCCACGAATCGTGTGAAGGGTGTGCCGAATTGGGTGCGGGTGCGCCATGCGGACGCTGCCGCTGGGGCCTTCGATGGAGTTCCCCATGGGGCAGCGAAACGTGTGAGGGGTGTGCCGAATCGAGCGCAGGTACGCCATGCCGGCGCTGCCGCTGGGGCCTTCGGTGGAGCTACCTGCGGGGCCACGAAACATTAAATGGGTTTGCCGAACTGGGTGCGGGCATGCCATGCGGGCGCTGCCTCTGGGGCCTTCGGCGGAACCCCCTTCGAGACCGCGCATCGTGCGAAGTGGTGTGCCGCCAGGGTCAGCATGCGGAGGGCAGGGGCAAGGATGGGAGGCCGGAGGGGAAGGGCGGGAGGTGAGGTGAGCCACGCGGGGCGGTCTGTCTTCAGAACGAGGACCCAACACCACAGGATGGCTGGAACGAAAAACCAAAAGATTTTGGGGTGGGGTCGGGGAAGTCCCCTTGCGGGGCTTCCAAAATCTGAATCTTCGGACCCGTACTGGCAAAGCTATCCTGGCGAAGCACCCAACCATTTTGCAGTTGCCAGAACCCCCGTTGAGGCGGGTTTTGGGGGTTCAGAGGGGACCCATCCCTCACACAACCCCCACCCCCTGAAGGGTGTTTTGTTGCGGGGGTCTGGGGGGGAAAACCATGCCCCGAACCCAAAAACCTGTGAGGGGGGTTCGGGGGGGTCAGGGGGACAAACCCCCTGATCCCCCTTCACGGAGGGTTAGGTTGTTTTGTTCCAAAAGAGATTTGGGGAACTGCCAACCCCTACTGTCGCCGCCTGTGCTCCCCTCCAACTGGTAGCGTCAACCGTGCCAATGCTTCACGACGGTCGGTGCTTTATTCATATTCGCCAGTAGCTCATGCAATACGGACCTCATGCTGTTTCTGTTAAGCAATGCAGCCGCTGAGTCACCACGTGTTCGGACCGGGGATGCCAGTATGCCCGAAAGGAAAGCGGCAGGCGCGGCGCACGGAGCGGAGCGCAGCGCAGCATGCGTGGCACGCGCGGGGTGGCTGCGTGTACCTTCCGAGGGGCTTCCCGGACCTGGCGCGGGCGCGCAAGTCTGAAGTCAAACAGCGGGAAGCGCGAAGGCTCCGCAAGCAGGCACCGTGATGAACCAGGCAATCGGCGCACCCACGAAAACTGTACCCGTGGGTCGAAACATCGAATGCCGAGCCTCTGTGATGTGCCCCTGGAACCGGCAAGCTCCTGGCGTCCGGGGCCTTGAAAGCGAAGCTCCGACCGGACTCTGGCCGAAATCGGGGGCGGGTGGCCACCGAAGCCCGAGCTCTTGCCAGGAGCAACGCCCAGGCCCAGTTTCTACACTCGCCTGAAATAGCACGCTCGCTTCAGACAATCACCTGCACGATCAAGCACATCCATGACCAATCCAATGATCGGACAGCCGAGGGTTGTAATGCAAGGATACGGAAAGGGGAAAGAAAGGAAGGATACGCAACGACGGCCTGAGAAAATGATGAAGGGGAAGGGCTGGTAGAGGTAGAGTTCCGTGGGGAGATACGGGACTAAGCGAGGAAAAAAAGAGGAGGGGCAGGGGAGCGCGAGGGCAACGGGGAGAGTGGGGAGGAGGCCTCAGTCCTACAGTAGATGGACAATATATCAAACACTTACACATTCGAGGGAGACTCTCAATCACCCCCGCGCCCGCGACATCAATGTTGATATCAGTAAAGGCGGTGCTTTGGGGTTCGAATATTTCTGTCCACTCAGGCACCTCCAGTTGCCACGCCATCAATATCAATTTCGGGGGGTCTGGGGGGCATCTTGGGCCACAGGGTTCGAATATAATGTCCATGTACGGTAGCTCGACCATGCCTCAAGGCGAAGATCTGGCATCTGAGAGCCAGCCGCGACAGACAGAATTATACCTTTAGTGCTACATGCACGCAGGGGACAGCCCGGTCGACAGCACGGCACTACACGACAATCTACAGAAACGCTATAGCTAAACGGTGTTTTTCGTTTTCGGTTTGTTTTCGTTCCCCCTCGCTTTTGTCGCGAATCCGCCTTTACCGCAAAACGAAATCGAAGCGAAAACGGCCCACGAAATCGCCAAAAACAACGTTTAGGTCCAGCCCTGATCTACAGCACGTCAAGAAGGATGCAACTTGGAATAGTAGAAGGAAAACCAGGACGACCAAGACGACAACGAAGGGAGGAAAAAGGGAGGGCCCAGATTGACCGCGCGCGCGAGTAGATGCAGTGACGCAAGTTTGCCGAACAGTGACCTGAGCATCCCCGATGAAGCACCCATGGCATCCACGTCGCAAAGACAGGCGAGCAGCGCGACAATATACAATTGAAGATAGCTATGCACTCTCGTCCTCATCATATTAAACATGTCGATCCTCACATTAGTGTCCCGCGGACGCTACAACATGCCGAATTACTGATTATGAGACAACTTAAGCCTTAAGTCTTCTTCATCACCCTGACGCAACAAACGCTCAGCGGCAGCAAACAGCCGCCGGCGCCTTCCGCTCGCGTATGACCTCAGTCTCACCCCGTGCCCCCCCTGCTTTTTCAGCCACGCGATCACGACCCAATCGGGGACACTATACGAAACGGTATTCGATGAGCAGGCTCCTGCTGTAAGCTGTGGCGAGAAAGAGAGAGAGAGAGAGAGAGACACAAAAAAAAGAGAAAGAGACACAGAGAGAGCGAGAGACAGAGACAGAGACAGAGCGCGTGGGACGCAACGACCCCGACACAATGTCTAAGCGACGGGAGTTGCTGAGAACATCCCGATACTTTTTCGTGAACTCACCCCGGTCGCCAAACGGTGAGGGGGCCGAGGAGGGAAGATCCGCCGCCGTGCCCCTGTGGCACGAAGTGGAGAGCCCCCAGGTCCGTTGCTTAGTCCTTTGAGCCCCAGTCTTCACCCCTGAGGGTCTCTTAAAAAGGGGTCCAGACCAAGCATGGCCAAATCTGCTGGGGCGCGCCGCGTCCAAAACGGCCCAAAAACGGGCAAAGAGGGCCACTAAAGGCCCCCAAGACGGTCCAAGAAGGCTTCGGATCGCCGCACGTCTAATACAAGACGCCCAAGACGGCCACAAGACGGCCCAAGAGGCCTTTGAGGCGCCCCGAAAGAGACCCCGAGTGGGCAAAGAGGTTCCAGAGCTCAAAGACGGCCCAAGAAGCCCTCAAGTCCGTCCCAAGGCGTCCCACGAGGGCTCCAAGACGGCCCCAGAGGCGCTCAGGACAGCCCAAGAGGGCCCAAGAACAGCTCCAAAGAAAACCCAAGAGGGGGAACACGAACGGAACATCCGAGTCGTTTGCACCAAAAGGCCCCAGGAGGCCCAAGGAGGCGCCAAGAGACCCCAAAAATGCCCTCAAAACGCCGTACAACGGCTCCAAAGAGGACCCCCGCGACATCCCAACGAACATCCAATAGGCCGATGACCCCAGCACGCGCACGGCGGAGGGATGGGCCGCAGGCCATTACAGAAGGATGAAGAGCACAGGTGGCCAAGATACGCTGATGGTGATGATAAGCAGGAGAGGAATGATAACTGGGAATGTGATAACTGGGAGTAGGATGACACACATGAGAAGGTTCAGGGGGGAAACGCAAGAGGCGAAAGCCAGGAGGGAGGTGGAGGAGCACAAGGCCAACAAGGTGCCCAGCTTGATGTGGAATTGGGGGTAACACCGACGCCCGCGACAGGTCATAAACTAAATAACTGGGCTGGATATGGGGAGCCAGGGGAGGAAGGATATATCCAGCCGGCTGCTGTCGGGAGAAAAAAGGGGAGTGGAGAAACGGGGATGGGCGGATTGGGGGTTTGCACGGGGGCGCGATATGGAAAACGCGCGTTCGAACACCTCGGGGGAATTTCGTGTGACGGCGGGTCCTGGTGATGTCTACGTCGGGCGCCGCGGCCGTTCCGAAGCACCCCACAGCGCTACGAGCGCCGTGGAACGCGCTGCTCGTTTCCCCGGGGATGCCTGCCGGGTGGCGGGGAGCAGCGGCATCAGGGGGCGGGAGGGAGGCGTCGGGAGGTACGAATCTGCAGGTGCTCCCCGCTCCCTCGTGTGTCGCCGTCGTGATCCTCCCCAGTTCATCCCGCCAGCCCTGTAGGGCATCGGTGGTGCAGGGCGCTTCCTCTTCCACCCCCTTCTTCCCCTTCGGGGAGGGGTCAACCACTGTCCTTAATGCATTAAGCAGCCTTCTTCCACCTGATTGAAGACGCAAACGGAGCAATGCCACCACCCACCTAACCATCACTTACAACAACATCCGCCGACCCTGTCGGCGTGTGCGAGGGGCTTGTTTGTTCGAGTCGTCGTCTCCGTCAGTAGTCGTCTCCGTCGTCTCCTTTCCCTGCACCCTCCTCAAGCCTGCCAGCGGTAGTAACATCTGACAATGTCGTAACTCAGTCGGAGGGAAGTCATTCCCTTTGATCCCTTCCCCGTCGGGACGGTGGGGGTCCTGGGGGGGGGGTATGCGGGGAGGCCTGCCTGGGGGGATCCCCCCACGGGGGTCCAGGGGCATCAAAAGATACCGAGCCAGGCCACGAGTGCCCCAGCAGGCCCCCGAGACAGTCCAAGAGGGTTTCAAATCGCCAAACGATCGGTCCAAAACGCCTTCACGCCGCCCAGACTGCCCAGGAGGCCGCCAAGACGGCCCAGGAAGCCTCCAAGAGCAGTCCCGAGAAGTGGCCCACGAAGCAAAATTCATTGATTCCCGTGTGATTTGTACATGATTTGGACGTTCTCGTCTTTCCCGCTTCCCGCCGCTCCAAGGCTGCCCAAGAGGCCCTGAAGATCGCCCCAGGACGGCCCAAGGGGTCTCCAAGAGGGAACCCAAACAGCCTAAGAGCCAAGAGGACCCCAGGGCACCCCACGACGACTCCGAAACGGCTGAACAGGCCCACGACGGCTCCAAGAGCGCGCCCAGACGGGGGACCTGAACGGACATTTCGAGCCATCGGCCCCGAGATGCTCCCAGGCGGCCCCAAGAGATTACCAAGAGGCCCCAGAAGGCCCACAAGAGGTCCCCAGGAAGCCCGCAAAGGCCGCAAGAGGCTCCCAAGAGGCCCCTTAGATGCTCCCAAGAGGCCCGAAGAGACCCGAAGAGGCATCCCTCTGGCCCACGTCAGCGTCGTCGCCGTCGCCGTCGCCGCCGCCGCCACCGTTATCGTCGTAGTCGTCGTCCCCCTTCAAGGTCGGCGGCACCGGCCGTAAGGCCTTCGCAATACCGAGAACATGTTACACAAAAAATCATGCGCGGACGCCCTGCGGTCGCATGGCATCGGTTTTGACAAGTGCGGCGGTGGTTGGCGGGGGGAGCAGCGCGTTGCTCGCTATGTGCAATTCCAACCCCCACATCCCATACCATCCCTTGTAAAGGACAATCTGCAATCAATGTTGTTCCAACATCTGCATCATGCACGGGCACCCGCAGTCACGCTGCGCACGCGATTTTACAGGAACGGCGGGTGGGGGGACATGTTACCTGCTGCGAGCAATACCAACACCCCCAACCATCCCTTGCACCTGACACATACAAAGTGCAGTTTGCACCGACACCTGGATCATGCGCGGACGCCTCGCTTGTCCAGCGGCGGCTGCCCCGCTGCTGCTGCCGCGGAGCCTGTCGCACCGATCAGCGCCCCGAGCCCCGTGGCTTCCACCATGGGTGCCTGGGAACAGACGGCGCGGACCTGTCCCATCGCAGTGGAGCCTCTGACTTGGACAGCGGGACTATCGCATGCGGCATAGACTTCATCTGGGTGATAAGAAATTCGGGGGGGGGGGCGTCATACGAATGGGCACACATCGGGACATCAATATCGATGTGCATCCCAACCGCTTTTCTCTCACTATCGATCCGTCGATCTCAACCTCTACTCATCGGGACAACCATCGGGACAACCATCAGGATGACCATCCCAACGCCGTGGAAACGGCTCCACCGCCGTCGTGCTGTTGCGCATCCTACTGCTGCGACCTGTCGCGCTACTAGGTGTTGCACAGCTGGCGGACACCATCGGGACAACCATCGGTTCCTGATGATGACGCGTGGGCGCGCGATGTCGGGGAAAATACGCTTTGTCGATCGATGTCGGTGCTCTGCGCTCCCCGAGAGGGGCAACCCTTCTCACGGAATGGTTGGCACTTCGCTCTAGGGGGGGCGTGGGGGTTGGGGCCCTCCACTCGGGTGCTGCCTACGTGTTGGGAGGGCGGGTGGCAGTCCTTCGTGGGGGGAGTGCGGGAGCTCGACCCCTCTCCCTGCCCTGCCCCCCTTGGTCTGGATTTGCGTCGGGCCTGTCCCCCTACAGGGGGGTTTTGGACGACAACTAAAAAACACGCCAACCATGCCCAAGCATTACCCAAAAATACTCAAAACAGAGTCCCCAGACTATGTTTGTTGACTAGTTTCGGATATTCCCCCTGTAGAGGGACAGGCCCGACTTAAGTCTGGACGCGGGTGTGGGGGGTGGTGGTTGTGGGGGGGGGGGGGGGGGCGATGTGTCAGAGGGATTTGTTGACCCCAGATGGCTCCAAGAGGGCCCCCGAGAGCTCAGTATGACCTCGCAGGTGGCTTCGCATGGCCTCCAAACTGCCTGCAGTAGGCACTCAGGCTGCTCCAAGACGGCCTCGAGAGGCCACGGAGCCTCTTCCAAGAACGCCTCCTGGGAGGCAACCTACATCCAAAAACCAGGGGGGGGCACTGATGCTTGGCTCCTCGCCGCTTCGCATTTGATCAGCGTTAGAAGCCTCGTAAGTGTTCCCCGATGGTCCAAGAGGGGCCCCAGAGGGCTCCAAGACGGCCCCAAGAGCGGCTCGAGAGATGACGTTCGGGGCTAAAGAGGGACAGCGCGAAGTAAAAACCCTCCTTCGCCAAAGCCAGACTTAACGATCAACTCACTGGTTGATGAGCGATCTCTGCATCTTGGGGCCATCCTTGGGAGGCGTGTTGGCCAGCATGGCTCCAATGTGGCCTCAGAGAGCCCAAGATGGCCTCAAGATGGCTCAAGATACCCCAATATGACTCACGATGGTCACCACTATGCCTCCAAGAGCTCTCAATAAACCTCTAAGACGTCCTCGAGAGGCCACGGAGTCTCCCAAGGTCCCCAAGAGGGACATCCATGTTGATTTGCCCTCTCGCCCTTTCGCTTCCACGGGCGCTTGGGGCCCCAGGGCAACGAAGGGCCCCAAGGCGGCACCGAGAGCGCCTCAAGTCAAGACTTTCGGGGCTCCACAGGGGCAGCCCAACTAAGGGCCCTTCCTTCTTTGATCGACGTCCTCTCCTCCTCCTCCTCCTCCCCCTCCTCCCCCTCCTCCTCCTCCTCCTCCTCCTCCTCCTCCAACTCCTCCTCCTCCTCCTCCTCCTCCTCCTCCTCCTCCTCCAAGTGTTGCCCCAAGAGGGTCCTAAGAGGGGCCCAACAGAGCCCCAAGGTGGCCGCAACGGCCTAACCCCAACATGACCCCAACATGGCTCCGGTGAGCTGCCGAGGCACTCATGGGGCTGCTCAAGCAAGTCACGATCTTTGACTTGACAGCTGCTCCCCACCCCCTGAGTTGCACTGCGCGCTCCCGCACTTCCCCGATCAGTGCAACTCGCCTGGACATCGTCGCCGGATAGGCTGGTAGGAATGCGCGAAGAAAATGACAATGCTGATACAATACGTCCTCATTATCTCTCGTCGTCGCTCTCCTCCTCCTCCTCCTCCTCGTCCTTCTCGTCAGTCTCCTCCTCTTATTGGTCCTCCACCTTCTCCTGCTCATCCAACACTTCGTTCTCCTCCTCCTCCTCCTCCTGATCCCTCAGCGTTCTCCTCCGCCTCCTCCTCCTCCTCCTCGGACTATTCCTGGACCTCCTCCTGATCATCACACTCCTGCTCCTCCTCCTCCTCCTCCTCCTCCTCCTCCTCCTCCGCTTGCTCTTCATTTTCTACCAACTCCTGCTTCTCATATTCCTGCTTCTGCTGGAACTCCTCGCGTTCGTCCTCCAGCTCGCCCAACCTTTCTCCTCCTCCTCCTCCTCCTGCTGATGCTTCCCCTCCTCCCACCCTTTTCAGACCTCCCCCCTTCTTGTCCTTCTCGTGTGTTTTTTCTTCATCCAGCTCCTCCATCCTCCCCCTCCTCCTGCCCCTGACCAGAGCGCACGGGCTGCACGCTGGTCAGTCTGCCTTCCGCCCTTGTCCCTCCCTCCTCCTAGCTCCCCCCCCCCTCCTTCTCATCCGTCCCTCCCAAGAGCGCGCGACGGCGCCGGTGTCGGGGCTGAAGGTCACGCTGCTGCAGCCTCCAGCCTGCCCAGCAGGAGGGGCGCCCGAGATCGCAGACGCACCGGGGGACTGAAGGGGGGAGAGCGCGGGGGAACGGGGACAGATATCATGCGACAGCGAGGAACACCAACTTGCCCGTCGCTCGGACGTCCATTTCCCGTGCATTCTTCGGTTTCGTGTGTGTTTTTTCTCGATGGTCCAGGATGGTCCTCGATGGGCTCAGGCTATGCACCGCGCGCCCAACTTGCCCGCGTCCCAGTGCTTCGGCCAGACCGACTCGAGAAACGGGGCTGGAGTTCCGGGGTTGCAGGCCGCGCGCACTTATAGGCGATGCCCCGGGCATTATGCTGGGGGCGCGGGCTACAGCCACGCACGGCGTGCCCGACAAGCTCGCGGCCCGTTGCTTCGGCCCGCCCGGCTGAAGATTGCGGCGGGATGCTCGGCATCCGCAGCGCCGCACTTGTTCGGGCTAAGTCGCTGCGCGCACATCCGCTCCACGCGCCCTGTTCGCCCCCAGGTGCGGACCTCGCCCCGCTCGCCCTCAGTGTCGGGGCTGCCTCTTCGCGCCCGCGGGCGAGGAGGTTCGCGGGCGCGGGCTCCGGTACAGAGCGCGCACTAGGCTAACAACCCCACCGAATGGGACAACAGCTTCGGCAACATACGGCAGCACCCGCGGGGTCCCAACAGTGTCGATATAACGTTGATCCATCCAGCGCGATGCATCGCGCCCCCAGGTGCCACTCGGCACGCAGACGCACTCGTTGCACTTCTGTCTACGTGCAGCAAGATGTGGGGGCCTATTGGCGCCTTCTTCACGCGCAGACGGCCCGCGCTTCGTGTCGCCACGGTTTAGCTTCATTCGCTTCGCCTTGCCGCTGCCACTTCTCTCCGGCAGCCTGCGCCGGGGCGCGGCAGAGCCGCCCCGCCCCCCCCCCCGTCCTGCCACGCCGACCTCAGAGGCCTTCTTCGGCAGACGCCCGCGCGAATGGCGTTGGCCAGGACTGCTGCGCGACTGGCGCTAGCCAACGCCAAGGCTCTTCAGCGCGGGGCTCAGGCTGTTCCGAAGGGGCCGCCGCTGACGCTGCCACGGGTGCTGCGGCTGCCGGATCCCGCCCCGCTGCAGAAGGAGCTGTGGGCCCGCCGTCGTTGCCACGGCGACGAATGGCCATTCTCCCCTCGTCGAAAAACTTGATGTTCGCCAACGGCTGAAACTTCTGGACTGCCACGTCCAATCGGTGGCGGTCGCCGTCAAAACCCGCCCTGTAGGAAGAATGGTGCTTTTCTCTTTCGAACATGCCAACGGGGCTTGCCGATGTGCCGCAATCGATGAAAGCTTTGTTGGGGCCAAGGTCTTGGAGGGTAGTCCTGGCCTGCTCGGCCCGCAGCGCCTGAAGCGGTGCCTGGTTTTCGTCCTCCGCCTTCGCCCGAGATGTAGCCTCGCGAGAGTGGGCCGCATGTGCCGCGGATCCGAACACACAACCGCGGCCACATGCTGAGACGACGGCTCCGACTTGCGTGCGGTAGGGGCTCGACCGCAAGAAAGTGTTTCACAAGAAACCCAACCTGACCCCCAAGGGCGTCCATTGATTTTTGGTGCGGGAAACGCACGCTGTCCATAGCAAAACAATCGACAGCCAAAAAACCAAGGGCACCCGGGAAGCAACGACGGTGTTTCTTGGCATGGGTCTCCACTGTAGGTGCTGCTTCCGGGCATCATTGGGCGGAAGATTGGGTTGCTGAGCCTGCAGGGACGCATTGATCGCCGATGTAACGTCTGCTGGGAAGTCAGGGGTCTGCCAGAGATCCCGCATGTGCTTTTGGTTCGCGCGGTGAGTGTCGAAATTGTTAGCGCCCGAGGAGCGACCCCAGAGCTTCCACTGATCGACTCTCTGGCCACAGCTGCACAGGCCGTCATTCGCGATGATCTTGCGTTTGTAGATCCGCCTGCTGCATCCATCGCACTTGCTCCACGGCGTTCCAAACTTTCTCCTCCTGCATGAAAGCAGACTTGCTCCCCGAACGAACGGATGCAACGAATCTCCTGGAGCGTGCCAGGACACAGGACATTTGTCAGACTGACCAATATTGGCACTGTCCTCGGATCGAAAATGTCCGCCGGCCTGAGCCAAACTGGCTACGGAGGGAATGGAATGGAGAGTGAGGGGATGGGGAGGAGGAGAATAGGAGGATCGAGGAACGACCAAGTTCGGCGGGAATCGAAATATTCGAGCGTATTCGGAATAGGCCAAAACAAGATTCGACAATCTCGCCTGGCAACTGCCCTTGGGTTCGCGAGCGACCACCGCCGCGCTTCGCGCCAAGCGATGCCCTGTCGTCTTGGCGTTCCCGCGCCGTCCCCCGGAGAAGAATGGCTCTCCTGCCCAGACCGCGAAGCGCGAGCACGGGTACCCTCGCGCTACTGCGATGTTCCGAACAGAGGGAACGCGGAGGGAACGGGATGGGATTCGGAGGGGGAGGGTAAGAGGGCAATCAGGGGGACTTGGAGGGAGCTGAAAGGGAATGGGGGCAGAGGGAGTAGAGGAGGGGCAGCAAACGGGGCTGAAAGGGAGAAGAAGAGGTAACCGACGGGGGAGAGAAGCAGGCTGCGCGCGGCACAAAAAAATGGCGCTGCGAAGTGCCAGCCGAGGAATCGAAACGCACTGCGGGCACCGATGCGGGCGGGAAAGGCCTACAACCGAAACGCTGACAACCCGCGAGCCTGCGGGACCCCGCTTCGGCCTCCCCCCTTCCGCATCGTCGCTGGCTCAGCTGCCTCGAAGTCCACGACGGCCATGCTAAGGTTGTCGGGGTTGGAGAGGACCTCCACCTGAAGTGCGGCAGCAACAAATGTCACATGCGTTTGGCTAGCATGTGAATCGCTCTGGGTGGACCGACTCGACTTCTTGAGGAACTCCAATCGCCCTTGAGAAAGTCGCTCACGCGATCCGAAATCACCAAATGCCCTGGATAATGGCCGGGGGGCGGTCAAGGAAACTGGGGGTTCAGGAAAGATATGAAAAACTGTTCCCCGCAACTCGCATGTAGGGTTTACGGGGATGTGGGGAATACGGACTCTCATAGTGGTAGTAGTAGTAGTAGTAGTAGTAGTAGTAGTAGTAGTAGTAGTAGTAGTAGTAGTAGTAGTAGTAGTAGAAAGTAGTAAGTAGAGTAGTAGTAGTAGTAGTAGTAGTAGTAGTAGTAGTAGTAGTAGTAGTAGTAGCAGTAGCAGTAGCAGTAGCAGTAGTAGTAGTAGTAGTAGCAGTAGCAGTAGTAGCAGTAGTAGTAGTAGTAGTAGTAGTAGTAGTAGTAGTAGTAGTAGTAGTAGTAGTAGTAGCAGTAGTAGTAGTAGTAGTAGTAGTAGTAGTAGTAGTGTAGTGTCGTCGTCGTCGTCGTCGTCGTCCGTCGTCGTCGTCGTCGTCGTCGTAGTCGTAGTAGTAGTAGTAGTAGTAGTAGTCGTAGTAGTAGTAGTAGTAGTAGTAGTAGTAGTAGTCGTAGTAGTAGTAGTCGTAGTAGTAGTAGTAGTCGTCGTAGTCGTAGTAGTAGTAGTAGTAGTCGTCGTAGTATTAGTAGTAGCAGTAGTAGTAGTAGTAGTAGTAGTAGTAGTAGTAGTCGTAGTGGTAGTCGTAGTAGTAGTCGTAGTAGTAGCAATAGTAGTGGTAGTAATAGTAGTAGTAGTCGTCGTAGTAGTAATAGTAGTATCAGTAGTAAAAGTCGACGTAATAATAGTTTCCGACATAGTAGTAGTAATAATAACCGAAGTAGTCGTAGCTGTATTATTAGTAGTAGTGGTGGTAGTAGTAGTAGCAGTAGTAGTCTTGGGTAGTAGTAGTCAATGTAAAGCTAACAGTAATGGAAAATAGCGATAACAAGCTCAAGTAGGAATCGTAGTAATAGTAGTACTACTACTACCACTATTGGTGATCGTAGTTGTGGTAAGAGTAGTGGTAGTGTACGTAGTAGTAGTAGTAGTAATAGTAAGAGAAGATCGTGTTCGCAACAATAAGTGGTAGTCGTAGTCATGAAATGAGACGTAAAGGTAATACTCGTATTCCTAGCCGTTATCGTACTAGTAGCAGTGGTGTTATTGGTAGTGGTAACAGTCGTAGTGAAGTAGTAGCCGTAGTAGACATTACTAGTACTGGTGGTGATAGTAGCCAAAGAAAAATAATCGTAGTGGTCGCAGCAATCGTAGTAATGGTCGTACTAGTCGTAACCGTAGTCGTTGACGTAGTAGCTGTGGTACTAATAGAAAAGACGGCATAATCTAACCAATCGTGGTGGTGGTAGTAGTAGTAGTAGTAGTAGTAGTAGTAGTAGTAGTAATAGTAGGAACAGGAAGTATAATGCGAATTAATGATACGAGTAATTCCAGTAGTAAGGGTAGTAGTAGTAGCACTAGTAGTAGTAGTAGTAGTAGTAGTAGTAGTAGTAGTAGTGGTAGTAGTGGTAGTGGTGGCGGTCGTATTCGTATTCGTAGTAGTAGTAGTAAGTAGCAGTGATATAGTAGTAGTAGTAGTAGTCGTAGTAGTAGCAGTAGTAGTAGTAGTTGTAGTAGTAGTGGTAGAAGCAGGAATCGTAATAACAATCGCAGTCCCAATCTGCATCCGAATAGTAGCACCAGTCATTCAATAGCCGCAACGATTGGAAACTTGCAATGTTAAAATTATTAGTAAATTTATGTTGTGATTGTATTCGTGTGAGTAATGGTGAGGGTCGCCGTAGTGACAGTAGCAGTCGTAGTAGAAGTACAAGCAGTCGTGATCGTAGTACTAACTGTTGGCAGTAGGTAAAAAGGAAAAGGATAACAGTAGTAGTACAACGAATAGTAATCCGCTGATCCGGCGTGTGAGTTTAAAAAAGCTACAGCCTGACCTTCAGCTCTGCTGGGGGGGGGGGGACGGGGTGGCTCTGCCAGGGTAGGGGGGGGAGGGGGGGGGGGGGGGTCATCGGGTCCACGCTTTCTTCCCCCCCTCCCGGGAATCCCAAACCGTTCAAAAACTTGCCAAAAGGGGCCCAGGAGGCCACCAAGACGGTCCAGGAGGCGCCCGAAACGGCTCAAGAGCGCTCCTGGACGCCCAAGATGGCCTGAAGACGGCCCAGGAGGCCTCCAAGACGCCTCAAGGAAATCCAAAGAGGACCCGCAAGAGGGTACACATATAAAGTTGCTAATCGGTTTTGAAGCATTTTAACGTTATCGCCCTTTCCGTCTTAGAAGCGCCGAAGACGGTCCAAGAGGCCCCCAAAATCGCCCCAAGACAACCCAAGAGGCCCCCAAGATGAGCCAAGACGGTCCAAGAGGGCCCCAATATAGCCCTGGAGGCCTCCCAAAAAGACCCCAAGAGGCCCCCAAGATGGCCTCAAGAGGGTGAACCCGAACGGAACCTTCTAGTCCTCCACCCCAAGATGACCCCAAAAGCCCCCAAGATGCCCCCGAGGCGCCCCCAAGGGGCCCCCAGAGGCCCTCAACAGGTCCCCTAGAGGCCTCCAAGAGGGAGGCCCCCAAGAGTCCCCAAAGGTCCCGAAGAAGCCCCGAGAACCAAGAGGCCCCAAGAGGCGCTCACTCGCGTGCAGCCAGGCCAGAGGTGCACGGCCTGACTTGGTATTGACCGGGAGCGAAAGCGATGAACGAAGAACCTTCCATCCGTCGCCGTCACCAGTCGTCGGTCGTCGGCCGTCGGCAGCCGTTCGCCGTCAGTCGTCGTCGTCGTCGTCGTCGTCGTCGTCGTCGTCGTCGTCGTCGTCGTCCTCGTCGGTTCGTCGTCATTGACTCCTTCGCCGGTCGTCGTCGTAATGATCCCGCTCGGCGACCGTGAGTCGTCCGTTGTCGTCGTCATCGTCCATTTCAACAACAATAGCATCAGGAACGCCCCGGATCGGCGGCACTGGCCGGAGGCCACCACAATAACAATCGTAGTAGTCGTACTACTACTACTACTACTACTACTACTACTACTACTACTACTACTACTACTACTACTACTACTACTACTACTACTACTACTACTACTACGACGACTACTACTACTACTACTACTACTACGACTATTACTACTACTACTACTACTACTACTACTACTACTACTACTACTACTACTACTACTACTACTACTACTACTACTACTACTACTACTACTACTACTACTACTACTACTACTACTACTACTACTACTACTACTACTACTACTACTACTACTACTACTACTACTACTACTACTACTACTACTACTACTACTACTACTACTACTACTACTACTACTACTACTACTACTACTACTACTACTACTACTACTACTACTACTACTACTGCGCGCAAGACCGCGGAGGTGCATGCGCGCCCTCCGCGGTCTTGCGCGCACGAACCTCCGCGTTCAAACGCAATTCGGAGGAAACAAACCGCGTGCATGCACATTTGTGGTTGTACTCTGACATATTTCGCCGAGAAGGGTGCAGGCCTACGCTGCGCAGATCATGCGCGACCCCCCCGCAAGGCAGCGCACGCGCGCTCGTGGACGTGCATGGGCGGCGCTGCAATATGGTCAAATCGTCGACATACATGCGCGAACCTGGTGTCATAGCGTGCGTCAGCGCAGAAGTTGTGAAGCGGCGCGAACAAAACCAATTGAAGTATAAACGCAGCGATGGAACGCCCAGGAAGAACGCCTCGGCCCGCAAATGCCAAAACAGAGAACACATTGTCCTGGGAGGACCCAGTAAGACGACCGGCGTGCTGACCCCCTTCCTTCGCGACAAGAGGTGCGTCGCGCATTCGTCGCCCGTGCGCCGCCCGCGCGTCGGCCGCCGAAAAGGCCGACCGCCCTCTCGAACGTGCACGTCGCCCTCGCACGGGGGCAATTTGGCGAGTGCGTCGCCAGCGCGGCGGACGCCCACGGGGCGGATCGCACGCGCGTCGCCCGCTCCACGGCCGCTGAAAATGCCAGTCGCCTTCGGGAAAAAGAGTGTCGCCCACGCTGCGGCCCTCTTGGCGAGAAGAAGGCGGCCGCTGGGCCACCTCGGCCGATCAGCAAATCCCTCTCAGATTGCAACAGCCGCGATGCTGCTGAACGCGCCCCGGCGCTCGGCCAGCAGGTCCCCGCAGCCGCCGCCACAGCCGCCACGACCGCCGCCGGCGCCAAAACTACCACCGCCACGATCACCACAAACAGACGCGACCGCAACCGCATCCACCGCGGCGGTTACGACCAACACCATGCACCGCCATCACCGCCACCACGACCACCGCGCTTCTCGCGACCACCACAACGACCGATGCCAGCACGATCACCGACGTGACCACCACCAGCCCGCCCACCACCAGCGGCGCGACCACCGCCAGCGCGTCCGAGGCGACGAACGCGACCACGACCATGATCACCAACATGACCAATACAGAAGCACCCGCCCACTCCGACCTCCCCCCTCTCCCCGCCATTTCCCAGCCGGGCCGCCCTTGCCGCCGCGCCCGCCTCGCGCCCCCCCCCCCCGCCCCCCCCTTCCCCTCGCAATCTTCGCCCCCGCCGCCAACGGCGGGGCCATTCGCGGAGGGCGGGGGCGCCGCTCGACGCGACGCGCCGCGACCGCGGAAGGGGGGCCGAAGGAGAAACAGAAAATGACGAGGGACACGGGGTGGCAGGGGGGAGAAAAACAAAGACGAGAGAGGAGGGGGGAGGGACAGACAGAGGGGGGCTGGGAGAAAGGAGGGGGAGAAGGGGAGGAGAGGAGACGAGGCAGGAGGGAGGACGAAGGAGGAGAAACGGCGAAAGAGGAGGGACGACGAGGAAGGACAAGGGAAGGAACAGAGGCAAGCATCGCCCTTCCTGGCGCAATGGA